AGGAGTAACCGGAGAAAGACCCATGGCTGTTAGGAACGATCAAGTCGGACTCATCCATAGCCTTCTAGACACTATCTTCAGGATGCAGGAAGACTTAGTCTCCTCCCAAGTCTGGATGTCTTCACAACTCCTATGGTTACAGCGTCAACAACCCTTAGCCCAGATCCGATCCAGAGCTGTTTCGAATCAAACCAAGAGGTTGATTACAGCACAACCTATATAAGCTGCTATAACATTCAATGGAAAATTAGGTCATATCATAGATGAGGTGTGACAAGACATTGTAGAACGTTTCCAAACTTCAACTATTAACCTAGCTGCTAAGACCCATGGATCATCACAGCCTCAGAAACATCCATGGGACTTTATATTCTCATCTGCTTAACAGCCTCCTAAGAAGAAGTTTGTCCCCACCTGGACGGATTAATTCCAGTTGTGGGTACGACAAACGACAATCTTTGCTGGATTCTTTTCGCCAACCAGACTACAAGAAACAAGGTAACAATCGCCGTGGGAAATCGGAGGTTAAGGTAAGTTCTGACACCCTTACCACCCCTCCGACGTTATAGAAACTTTCGAACTGGTTATGTCTATGGACTGCAATTTACGCCAACTGTCTTCAACATAATGCCGACTCCGCGCCAAGTGGGAGGGTGCCTTTTGTCAAACACAGAAAATTGGAAGCAGATTACGCCTGACCACTAGATTCTACATGTTGTGGCTCATTTCAAGAAACATCCTATCTTGAAAACTCAAGCCGTCGGACGCAGATTTCATCTGTTGGAGCCAAGCTAGCAGCAGCAGATCTGGCCGTCAGGAAGCTACTAAAGAAGCAAGCCATTCGGAGACAAGGTAGATGAAATCTGCGGCTGACGGCTTGAGTTTTCAAGATAGGATGTTCCTTGAAGTGCAGTTTGTATCTGTGAGCCACGACGTCTAGAATCCAGCAGTCGGACTCCCCTTCCTCTTCCTGGCCCTGGAGTCTGCATTATTTTGAAAGACAGTAGGGGTAAATCGTAGTCCATAGACATAACCAGTTCGAAAGGGTCTATAATATTGGAATTGGTGGCAAGGAAGTCACATCTGCCGCTAGATCTGCCCCAGCGATAGGATCCTCGTTCCTTATAGTTGACTGACAAAAGATTCCTGAGAAGACTGACGCATGTCGTACCCCCAACTTGGTTGGAATGAATCCTTCCCGGAGGGGACAAACTCAGGAGGCTGTTTATATGATGAGTCCATCTGAACCCAGGGACGCTTCTTGGGATGAGAAGATCCATGTACCTTGGCAGCTAGGTTGATGCTTGGAATTGTCCCACTTTGCCGTTGAATGTCTTGGGAGCAGAAATTAGTTGTGACATTATCAACCTCTTGGTTTGGCTGGAAACAGCTCTTGAACGAATCTCTGCTAGAAGTTGTTGACGCTGAACCCATAATAGCTGTGGAGATATCCAGGTGGAGAGTAAGTCTTCCTGCATTCTGACTATGATGTCTAGATGGCTGTGGATGAGTCTGACTTGATCTGTCCTAATAGTCATAGGAGTCTCTCCGGGTATGCCTTCATAAGATGTCTGTTATGGTGTTATGATGTGTCTGATTCCGGTGACAAACCAGTTGATATAAGTGCCAATGTCCATTGAATATCTGGATACTTAGGACAGATCCTTAATCCGTGAAACAGGTAACGTGACATTAGTATTAAGGTTGCGTACAAACTTCATAAAGACTTCGTCCAAACTTTGATAATCCGGAAGTGGAGCATCATGTGTTCTATACAACTTCCGCTTCAATGGAGGTAAGGGTAGTAGACTTTCGATGGGGTGAGTCGTCAGCCTGATTAATCTCTTCATAACACTCCGCTTCTGCCTCCGAGTGACCGTGGGTAGCTCACGGTGGGTGGGTGGGTTATTTGTGGATATTCATAATATTTGGTACACTAAATGTGTGCCCCGTGCAGTTCATCATCCACTGGTGTCCAGGATTCCAGTATGATTAAGGTCCGTGTGGCTTATTATGGCTGCCTGTGCATAACGGAGCCTGTACAGTAATCCCCACTCGATCAGCTGGACGGTCCCGTGTGGTCCGTGCAGTTGGTTTGGGTACTGTTGGTTGATGGTGATCATACGGTAGGCCGGTTGGCTGGGTTGCTGTGGAGTCTGTGCGACAACCGCACAGTGTCTTAGCTCGGGAGTATTGCCTTGTGGTATCCTGCTGAGACCCAAGCGAAGATCTAGTTGCCCGTGTATCACGGTAGGGAAAAGCTTATACCTGGCTGGCCGTACGGCTGAACGGTTGTCCCCCATGCGGCCTCTTGACCATGGAACTCTTCTTAGCCAGAGCTGTCTGTCTATTCTTTATCATCTTCATATCTTGGTTTAAGGCAGAGAACGGTGTCTCAACATCGACTTTATCATCCCTGCTGTGCTTCAATAGTTGTTTTATCAGGCTCATGGAGAGCGCAGGGGATGGGGTAGAGTCAGAGGCGTGATCATTGTCGACAGCCGTAATGACTTCAACTTCCTTCTTCGCCGCTTCACGCCTTTTAGCCTAGTTACAGCCTCAGCTTACTTTTAGGAATGCTTTCTTAGATGTTTGGTGCACTGCTTGACTCCTCTCTACGTATGACCTCTCTGCACTTCAAGCAGGTATGATGAGGATCTCCTGTGATCATGAATGATCACACTTCTTGCAACCAGGAGTAGACGGAGACTCCATTACGACCTACAGCACACCTCACACCAGCCTATACTCACATGCATACAATCGTCACTCCAATTAGCAACTATTATTACATGTATTGACTTACTGTGTCTGTTTTATTGAAAACTATTAGAATAATCTTAGACTAATGTGACTACTACCAAGTGCTAGATCGTTACAACTGTAACAATAGGTGTTGACTCAAGCACACACAGAAAATAAGTGAGATTCCCGCCATTATGCACATCATAGCTTGGGTTGCTATTGTGCTATATGGGGAACAACTAATTGTGTAATTAACACTAAAGAGGACGTCTGTTGAAAATCTGAAAATTTTAAATAGTGTGACTGAAGCCAAAATACAGGATTTATGGCAAAAATGTAATACAGGTAGAGGATTCGCAAGAATTACTGTCATTATATCATAGACCAGATCATATTCAACATTTTAAAAGCTAGACCACATTTTTTTAGAGCATATGTAAGGTTTGTTTTATCTACAAAATGAAATGCTTTTTTAAAAGTACTGAAAGGCAACTTAGAATCTACCTTTACTTTTACTTAAATACTTTGATATACAATCAGTAAGTGAGAACAAGTTACCTGTTACTGCATATCCGAACCATTTCATTAATCTTTAGTAATTACTGTTGCAAATAGCTTTCCAAATACACTATTTATACTTATTCCCCTGCAGTTATAAGGATTATGTCTTGGGACATTTTTATTAGGTACAATTATGCCTTAAGTGCAAACTAGTTGAAGCTGGCCTGTTGAATATATTCTATTTAATAAGTTATGTATGAAAGGCATAATTATTTCACATGTAATAAGATCTAAATCTGATTGATATTATTTTGTATCTCTTGTTCTCAGATTGCTGACTCTTGCACATTTAGAGGTGCTGCTTTATCAACAGCATAATATACATTTGATATATTCATATGAGAAGATATATTTATCAGCATAAAATATTATGAGATATTTGATGCTCATGATAATGCCATCAATAATCCTATAATATTTTAATTTGAAGTTTACACAATATTCAGCTTTTCCATTGGACGAGAGGTTGGTCACATGACAGCAAAATTGTCGTTCATAAGTGTTTAAACGACGTAATTTGACGTTCATGTGTTTTTCACGAGACTGTGTTCTTGAAATGACGTAAACACTGATGGATTACTTCCACATTCCTGGGGAAACCCCTGGGAATGCATGAATACATACAGAAGCATTCTTTCTGAACATTTAGACCCTTTAATCTTGAACTCAGGATTTCAGTTTACATTGAGAAACGTCAGAGAGTTTGACTGCATGATCGTTTACAAATATCCTCACTACAACCAAATCTATAGTGAACTAAACGAAGAAATGCACATCCAAACTATCGAAGTGTTGACTCAATCCGTGTCTAGGCTGACAGTGCAGTCTAAAGCAATCTATGAATTTACCTTAGTGTCTAATTAACACATCTTTAATCACCTTTCAATGATTGACCAATGATGACTAAAACATGTAATCGGCACAGGTTCATTGACAATTTCAGAAATCTCTCCCGTCACGTTTATCCTGTCGGCCATTTTGACGTCTTGTACTTAATGTAAATGTATTACGACGCGCTGCCACTGTGACTGACTTACTGAGGCAGTTCTTAACAGACATTTCGCATCTATTGAGGATATTATTTGAATATATTTGTTGTAAAGAAACAACAAAAGTTGTTTCTGTAGAGCATGTGGAGCATACATACATTCATGTCAACTCTCATTTTGAGGAACTATTTTATTCCGCGTTACAGCTGGTTGTTGTATGGCTGTCAGTGTAAACATGAAGTCACACGTACTAAATATTGTGTATAGATCTAGATCCTCTTAGGTACAAAATAGTGATACAAAAAATTATAAGAATTGATTTTCACTTTGTGTGAGTTCTTTGGAGTATGAACTTTCATTGAGTGAGGGCCAAACTGTATGAACGTCGGAGCTTGCGAAAGTCAATTCTTAATTATGTCAATGAATAAAGTTGAGTTTCTGTACCTCTAGTACCTTAGTGTTCATGTATCCAATAGATATCAAAATAATTTTATATCAAATTTAATTCCTTTAACTGAAAAAAACAATTACAGGTACGTGTTGGTTACCTGGTTTCTCTTAAAGAGATAAGTTATGTATTACCTAAATTTGGCAGGTGTGGTGTGTTTAAGACTTTTTATGGAAATCCTTGGACTATTTTCTCATGAATGAAATGTAGAAATAGATGGAAAATTACTTTGAATGAAATTAAATATATATTTCCAGAACCCATCACAAGCTAGAATGAAGTGTTCTGGCAAGAAAGAAGATGGCACTCCATGTGATTACACAGAAGAGGAAACATTCCTTTTTTGTCCAAATTGTGGTTCAAGCTGTACTGCAGAAGAATCAGAACCTCCAGTAGATGTAATCACATGCCCAGGCAAGAACAAGCAATGTGGAGCACAAATCTCTTCAGATTCCAAAGCTAACTTTTGCAAAGAGTGTGGTTGGCGGATTGACCGAAGTTTGTTCTGTACACCATCAAAGAAATGCCCAGGAAAAAATGATGATGGCTCTCTTTGTGGAGGAAATATTACAGAGAATGATAAGTTTTGTTTAAACTGTGGACAGGATTTCACTTCTGGTAATTTGGTTTTGTAGATTGCCTTTCTGTAAGACTTTTTGCCCTGTATCCATCAATGTCTGCATCTGTCAAGATCTTTTAGAAAGTAACTGCTGTACTGATGAAGCTGAAGTATGGCATGCATGTTTCTTCCACTAATCTAATTCTTATCTTTTATCATCAAAAGTTTAATCAGATAAAACATTCTTTTCACATATTTGGAAATCTGTAACTGAGTAAAATCAAAATTTGATCTAGGTATTACGATCACCATGGGCTTTGATGATATTGCAAATATAGATTTTTTCTCCTACTTTATCAAATATGCATTAACTGAGAAATCTAACTGATGGCAGGAAAAGGTTGATGCTACTTTGTTATTCAATAATAATTTGATTCACTAAAATGCAAAATAAACAACTTAAATTCAGGTAAACTTAACATACCGGTAGCCTTAATTGTGGTTCTTCTATTCTGAACTCAGATGTATATATTTCAGATGAGAATGGAGACAAGTTAGGTTCACACTTGACAGGTGAACATGAACCTCAAGCAAATGCTGGAGCTAAAATTGATCATTGCAGCAAAGAGGGAGTTGAAAATGAAGCTTTGTTCGGAAAAAACACAACAGACACCAAACCAGACACAACCACAACTGAGGCATCTGAGGTTGGCAGTGAGACTCAGTGTGGAGGAAATTCAACAGACACCAAACCTGACACCACCATCACTGAGGTGTCTGAGCCTGGCAGTGGGTCTCTGTCTGGGGGATCTTCAACAGACACCAAACCAGACACCACCATCACTGAGGTGTCTGAGCCTGGCAGTGGGTCTCTGTCTGGGGGATCTTCAACAGACACCAAACCTGACACCACCATCACTGAGGTGTCTGAGCCTGGCAGTGGGTCTCTGTCTGGGGTATCTTCAACAGACACCAAACCTGACACCACCATCACTGAGGTGTCTGAGCCTGGCAGTGAGACTCAGTGTGGGGGATCTTCAACAGACACCAAACCTGACACTACCATCACTGAGGTGTCTGAGCCTGGCAGTGGGTCTCTGTCTGGGGGATCTTCAACAGACACCAAACCTGACACAACCATCACTGAGGTGTCTGAGCCTGGCAATGGGTCTCTGTCTGGGGGATCTTCAACAGACACCAAACCTGACACAACCATCACTGAGGTGTCTGAGCCTGGCAGTGAGACTCAGTGTGGGGGTTCTTCAACAGACACCAAACCAGACACCACCATCACTGAGGTGTCTGAGCCTGGCAGTGGGTCTCTGTCTGGGGGATCTTCAACAGACACCAAACCTGACACCACTACCTCTGGGGTGTCTGAGCCTGGCAGTGGGTCTCTGTCTGGGGGATCTTCAACAGACACCAAACCTGACCCCACCATCACTGAGGTGTCTGAGCCTGGCAGTGGGTCTCTGTCTGGGGGATCTTCAACATACACCCAACCAGACACCACCATCACTGAGGTGTTTGTTACTGGTAAAGAGTGTCAGTCTGGGGAATCTTCAGTAGATTCCCACCCAGGCACAACCACTACTGAGGTGTTTATGCCTGGAAGTGAGACTCGATCAGAGGGAACTTCAGTAGACATCCAACCAGACACAACCACCAAACATGAGGTTAAAACTGGCAGCCAGACTCAGTTAGGAATTTCAGCAGACATACAACAGTCTCAGATTAACAGTGAAAATGGTGAAGATAATGCACTACAAAGTGGCCAAGTCAGCCATGATTGGCATGTGATGAGTAACGAAAAGCAGAGTGGAGAGGGCTGTGAAAATGAGGACCATTCTGATAATGATGAGTCTGGAAGTGAGGAGGAATCTGAATCAAGTGATGAATCTGGTGATGATGAAGTGAAGAATGACAAGAGTACAGACCAGACAACAACACTTTCAGGGGATAATGCAGAAAATCAACCGTCAAACTCAATCTCAAACAACCCTAAACAGAATCAAGTCTCAAATGAAAGCTGCATGACAGTTTCATCAGAATCAGAGGACACTTCTTCCCCTAAAGTAAAACCACTGACTCTGAAACAGCAGAGTGCAGCAATAGAAGGAAATGTGATTAAGTCTTCTGCTTCACCACAAGAAACATTTGATGTTAGTCCAAAAATGGAAGAGTGTCAACACCAAGTACCTGTTGCATTAGGAGCAGCATCAGAAACAACTGCTCCAATCACAACAAGAGATATTTCTTCTAAAACAGAAGAGAGTTCAGTAAATGATGATTTAACACCTGCAGCAGTGCCAAGTGCAATATCACAAGGGAAGGAAAATGAAAACAAAGATGAAGAGGTGTCCCCAAAAGGCAAGGGGACAAAAGGATCCAAGAAGAAAAACAAGAAGAAAAACAAGAAGAAGAATGTTAGAGGTCCAAAGAACAAACCCACAATGACTGAAAATGTAAGTATTTCTTCTCACCTAACTTAATTGCATGATAGCAAGTGCCAATTTTTTCATTCCACTTTTTCTGTGTATAAGGTTTATGTATCGATAATGTTGTTTTCCTAATCCCTTTTTAATAATAAGATGAAGCTAATGGATATTGAATACGTACAGTTTAAAGCGTCAGCATTTCTCGGTGCAGTATAATGAGGTACTGGGGGCGGTCGGGTAGCCTAGTGGTTAAAGCATTCGCTCGTCACGCTGAAGACACGCCGATCCTCGACATGGGTACAATGTGTGAAGCCCATTTCTGGTTTCCCCCGCCGTGATATTGCTGGAATATTGCTAAAAGCGGCGTAAAACCATATTCACTCACTCACTAATGAGGTACCATATGTATTTTGTTAAAATCAGTGCTTTTAGATCCCTCGTCATTAGTATCCTTGTAAAAATTATGAAATGGAAGCTGTGTTTAGCTAAATGATGTGGTATATGGTTGTGGATGAGGGGGTTAGCAGGTCTGCAAGGGGCAAGGAAAGGGTGTGTGTGTATATAGAGAAATATGTCTCAAAACGTAAGAAAGAAAGTTTTTAAGTAATGTTTCTGCAAGTTATCTGTTGTGGTCCATTAACTTTGATCTTTTGACTACTGTAGATCTTTGTTGCTATGAGATCGCCTCTGTGGTCTAGTGGTAGAGCGGAAGGTCCGGTGTTCGATCCCAGACCGCATCATACTAAAAGACGTTAAAAGATGGTACTTGTTGTTACCCTGTCTGGCGCTCGGCATTAAGGGGCTAAAACAAGGACTGGTCGGCTCGGAGTCAGTATACTGTGTCTGAGTGGGGTATTCATGTTAAACTGCGGCATGGTATCTCAATGAGCTAGCACTATAAATCTGCATCAGTCCGGACGAGTACAAGCAGCCACACAAACACACACACGTACATGCACGTCGCTATATAAGTGCAATAATCTTGGACGCGACGTTAAACCCCATTTCACCTCACCTCACCTTTGTTGCTATGAGATGGTTCAACTTGCCATTGGCAATGATGGGTTGTGTTCTCCCACACCATTACACTTCTACTCCAAAACTGGCACTGTTGAGTATCTTGTGCTCCCTCAACTGGTACTGCTAATAATGAGTCTCAACCCAGAAATTGTCTGAGCTGTTAATATGGCAGTTTCTGTAGATGCACCAACTGTCTTTTTGACGTGACGTCACTCTTGGACAACCGGCCTGTGGCCTGCGTTGTCTGCTTGAGATACATCTCTAAAGAGATGATATTGTGTTCTATGAACATTAAAATGGCTGGAAATTTGTTTTGTGTCATTCCCGTTTGCAGCATACCCACAGTGTGTAGACGTTACTTTTCAGCAAGCCTTAGCATTGTGTTAGCATTTTTTACGGTTTAATAAAAGTGTGTTTTGAGCACTTGATAGATAAACAGTCATGTTGTGCTGTTCCCATTCAAAAACCATGTGTTTGAGTATCATGCCCCAACAAACAACTCAAACATCCAAAGTGTGGGCTGTGCATGAACATGCACATGTAAATTGTCAATCATGACTTTATAGTCAAGGAAATATCTTCATGAATATGTATGGAAAGATGAATGATCAAATTTCAGAATGAAGTTATTTTCATTGAACAGTTGCTTTTTCCCATGGGTATATATTGAGACACCCTTATATTTTTTCAAAAGACACATTTGGCCCTGTCATCTTCTTTTCCTCTGAAATTGCCTGATGCATATGTGTTTGTTAGTAATATTATATACTCACACACAAAAGAAACGCAAGTCGAGTATGCAGTATACATGTTATTTATTTTCAACAATAAAGACAAGAAATACTAATAGGGCAAGATTGACAAAAATTTGACTGAAGACAGTTTAATGGATTAAAAGGCAGTTGACATAATTGATTTTTTTTCAAATGTTAAGGGCTTACACAGTTTCGGGTCAATACCCAAAATGTCAGTCAATACCTGGTGTGACTACCATTAGCATTGATCACTGCCACAAATCTCCTGTACATTGAGTGGATCAGACGATTTGTGAAGGCCCTAGGGATCCTCCTGCACACATCCAGAGCAGCTGTGCGTAGTTCCTCGGCAGTTGTAGGGACTGGGCGCACATTGTGCAGACGCCTTTGAACCTCATCCCACAAGTGTTCGATGGGGTTCAGATCAGGGCTAAGGGCTGGCCACGGTAGAACACGGATGTTGTGTTGTTGCAGAAAGGCCATGGTAGCTCTGGCAACATGGGGACGAGCATTGTCCAGCTGGAAAATGTGTTGTTGATGTTGTGCAAAAAATGGAACAAGGTGGGGTCTGGTCACTTGGTCAGTATACTGCTGAGCAGTGACGCCGTGTCCCCGACCTTGACCAACATTCAGAAAGCACATGGGTCCAAGTCTCGCATTAAGTCCAATCCCTGCCCATATCATGACACTAGGTCCACCCCATGGATCCCTTTCCACAACATTTCTGTCAGCGAAACGATCACCTCGACGCCACCAAATTCTGACTCTTCCGTCTACATGGGAGACACAAAAGCGACTTTCATCAGAGAAGATGACACGCCGCCACTGACGATGACGCCAGTTGTGATGACCCTGTGCCCACTGAAGTCATGCTTGTCGATGACGTGGTTGGATAACAGGACGACGTGCTGAGGTTGTTGGAACGGAGACGTCGGATCACAGTGTCCCGGCTAATGTGTCGATTATGTGTTATGTGTTTCGAGCACTTTCACTTGCAGTTAGGAACAGATGTAACTGGTGTTGACGGGTAATCTGCTGATCTTGTCGAGTAGTGGTGACCCTAGGACGACCGCTCCGAGGAAGGTCATCTGTGGTCTGTGTAGCATTGTATCGATGCAGGAGACGGTAACTTGTGGTTATGTTAACGTTGAAATGAGGGGCAAGATCTTGGACAGACTCTCAAGCTTCCAAACGTCCGATAGCCTGGTTTCTCTGAATTTGAGTTTGACATGGCATTGTTGACCAAGGAGTGGTAGGTCCAAGAATCAGCCTCAGTTTATACCCACTACAGTTTCTGACAGTTCGTGCATTTTCGATTTCGCGAGAAATGGGTGTATGATTCCCACATATTCATTGAAATGGTGCGTTTTGGCGATTCGTTTTTTATGTTGCGTTTTTACTCTGGGCTTCCAAAATGCAACCAAAAATATTGATAACACCATCAGTCTTCACTACATGCTAAAACTTGTATCAATTTATGGTCCCGTGTTTGTTACCTATTTGCTTAAAACCACTTTTGTTTCTTTTGCATGCGAGTATATTTTAGTGCAACTTTTAAGTGACTGTCTTTGTTGACTGTTCACTATAAATCCAGGTGAGCTACAGTGTCATGGCACTATGTTCTCTTTGCTACAATGAATTAAACCAAGGGATATCATAATTCCAAAATAAAAAAGCCCTATTACAACAGTGCCAAAAATACTGGTTTTCAGCAGTCATCACATCTTTAGATTTTCAACTGAAGTCCACTTCATTATCCATAATCTGTTGTCATACTGATCTTCTTTTCTAAACCTCTTCACCTGCACAGACAGGAAGTCTCCACTACTTTCCTGAAAGTGCTACTGTCAGAGCCAGAAACTTTCTGAGTTGTAATAGCACACTAGATTTCGGAGTTTTTCTCTGTAATTAAGTCAGTATCTTAGTTTACTTGGATTGTTTTCAGCTACAACTGGAGTTGTAGATGTACCTTAGGGTTAGTTTAAGTTGTGAATGTGTTGTCTCCTTCTGGAAGTGCTGATCATCAATATGCCCAGAAGAGTCCAGGTGCTCACAATGAATTTATTAAGATCGCTAAATCTTGGAAGAAATCTAAGAAGAAATCTAAGAGGAAGGAAACAGCAATGGGAATGGTAGCAGGACTGATAAATCCAGTTAGGGAGAAGCATCCCTGGATGCTAGATGACAACCCCTGGGCCCACTTGCACAAAGCGATCATAGCCCTAAGCTTATCGTAAGCCTATGTTAAAGTATGGGAGTTACAGTCATCTTAGTGCTAAGATTGCTTTGTGCAAGTGGGCCCAGGCCTGAAGTACCATCCTAGACAGAGATCATGCCACAAATTTCCCTGAGTATGCTGAATGAGATCCTGGATCAAGAGCAGAAGAGCATGCAGGTCATGATAGACTGACAGCTATTTCTGTGGGGATGGATGGAATGGCAACCATGCTACCAGCCTGAGGAACCCTCCATGGCAGGATGGCCATAGATGTCAGAGCAGCTATCATGGCCGGGTCTTTCAGATTAGACACAAATCTTGGGAGGCTTATCTCACCAGTGGCATGTATGGAGGATGGCTGTCGATCATCGGATGTACAGATGTACCTCTGGAATAGATTGTGATTGTGGGATAGAGTGAACACGGTCACTGGGGCTGATGTCATGATAAATTCAGATCTGGAACCACTATCGATTCACCTAGTGATCCAGTCAGGCAGAGGTCAGGAGGCCAGGCGGCAGTGCACATCGGACTGCATGAGCATCATATCCCCACCATTGTCTTTATTGGATTGTGGCCCTGAGTTGGGATTCTATGGCTTGAGATGAGCACCTTCAACATGTACCTTAGGAATGGTTTCGTCTCAATCTTATATCCCAGTCAACCATCAATTGATAACACCGACTCATTTGCTGAGTTAGATGAGAAACTTTATCTTCTTAAGCCTAACCTCAAAGCCCCTATGCAAGAAGAGGTGGTACCTCAGAGTATGCATGGTGCCATGGGACCACCTCCACAGCACAGAAGCATTTCACTCTCCAGCAGCCACGTTACAGATCATTACAGATCAGGCCACATAACATGTTCCTGATGCTTCCTTTGACTAAACTCCAAGATCAGCCTCAACCTCCAAGATGCATACATACACATGCCTATTCACCCTGGATGCAGGAAACAATTCTCAGTTAATGGATGCAAGTACAAGTTCCTATTATTTCCGTTCTTCATATCCATCACACTTTGGCTTTTCACCTGATTACAGTACTTTTGCTCAGGTCTAACAAGTGCATCTGCAACGACTTTATATCAGCTTATCAGGACAAGATCTAGATTCATCAGAACACCATCTTCCTTATCCAACTATTGTCTCATCTTGGGCTTCTGGTTCACCCAACCAAGTCAGAGGTCAACCTGGTACAAGATATTGCCTATATTTGAGCCAGATTCCAGCTCCACAAAGGAATACTTTGTCCACCAGAAGATGCTGCAGATGGTCTCTGATGTGGCAGATTATCCCAACCATACTGTCCCATCCAGCTTCACTGGTGGATGTCGCTACTCAGATTTCTGACATCTCTTCAAGACATGACTAATTGAGGGAGGCTTCACCTTCGTCCAATCCAGGTTTGGATTAATTCAGTGTGGTCGTCAACATGAGACATCCCAGTAACTTGTTCTCCAAATTGGTGGACATTCCTGGACGAGACACTGGGGAAACTTAACAGCTTAGTGGACATCATATCTCGACAGGGAGTATGGGGACTACTGAGTGGTCTCTTCACCTGTAGGCATTCCAATGGATAACGTTGGTGTGGGACACACCTCATTTGGACTTCTTTGCTGCAGGCCTCAACAATCAACTCTGTTGTTAAGACTGTTATCCAGGGTGTTATTAGTTGTCAGAACCCAACGATCCCTCTAGTTTATTTGGGCATTGATGTAAAGAGGTTTTGACTTCTGTTAAAGATCTAAAGATTTTTTAATGTGATGACAGACGAAATACAGGAATTGGGCACTGATGTAAAAAAGTTAGTTTCTTGAATCATTATCAATAACCTTTGTTTGATGTTTTAAGCATGCTCTAAATGTAACTATGTTTCTAGTTATAGTGAGGCTCAACATATCTGCAGTTATTGCCTATTGAACTTACTCATCATTGCTTTCAAAATGTATTTCCTCACTGTGTAAACATCATCTAATCTGAGACAATCTGGACCTATGAAGCTGTTCCTACTATGATAGCACCTGAATTCAAATCAAATTTACAATATTTCAGCTACAAAAACCTTCAAGTCTTTGAAAGGTATTTAGAAGTGGTACACATTAGAGAATTTATGGATGTCAACTTCTTTATTATGACAAACACAACATATCGGAGTACAGTCAAGTCTCGTTAATCCGACACTCGTTAACCTGACACTAATCTGACACTAATGATGGGAACCGATTAAATCAGTGCCATTTAGACCCGTTAATCCGACAGTCGCGCACTCTGACTTTGCAATTTGCAACGAATTACCTAAATCACTCATTAATCAGTCTCGTTAATCCAACGGTGATCAGCATACTCTGTGGTCATCTGCCAGTGAGTACACAGACCATGTTTTGATGCGATACGAATCGGGTGGTAGCTGCATATAACAGAGATAAACTTGTCTAACAATAAACAATTAATGTTTTAAATAAAGAAAACAGGATTAATCACATGCTTAGATGACCTCAATCTCATTAAAATTAGATACATGTTCTCGCTTTCGGAGAGGGCATCCCATTCCAGGTCACGTCAGAACAACCTTTCGCGAACTATGACCTACCAATGAAATGATTAACAGGAAGTCAACGTCAGCCACTTCGAAAGCGGCTTTCTTAAGCTTTGCAGTAGCAGTTTCAAAGTTGCGACTTCCATTCCAGACTATGCTTTTTAAAGTATTTTGAATAAGTCATACAGTCCGTAACAGTTGTTTTGTGATCAACTTTAGAGGTTGCATGATTAGAAAACATATTCTGTCAACAATGTAACATAACAATATGAATATTTAATCTATATTTTTTTATTACGTGTTTGAATTGTTATCTATTGTCTAGATGTCTGATTTTCGTTCACGAACGTTGATACTCCTTAATTTCGTTTATCCGACATACTCGTTATTCCGATATAATCATATGCAAACATTGATGTCGGATTAACGGGACTTGACTGTATATACCTACTCCTTCAGGTTGTTGGTTGGTCGGTTGGTTTTTTGTTTAACGCAGCACTCAGCAATATTCCTGCTATATGACGGCGGTCTGTAAATAATTGAGTCTGGACCAGACAGTCCAGTGATTAATATCATGAGCATCGATCCACGCAATTGGGATTGATGACATGCATCAACCGAGTCAGCGAGCCTGACCACCTGATCCCGTTAGTCTCCTTTTACAACAAGCATAGTCGCCCTTTACGGCAAGCATGGGTTGCTGAAGACCTATTCTACCCCGGAATCTTCACGGGTCTCCTTCAGGTGATTCACCTGATGAAGGAGTTAGTATAACTGGAATACTGTTCAAAGCGGCATTAAACCCAACTCACTCACTCCTTAAAGAAACCTTTTTGAAACACCTACTTATGCCTTTTGTTTTCTGAATGTAATGATTTTTGGTATGTGTGTAGGTAGCTCTGGGGTTGAACATCTCTGTTCAGATTTTCTGATATTTTAATTTTGACCTTTATATGACCTTTGCACTTTAACTATTTACTTATGTTCTTTTAAAATGTATATCCTTGCAGTCTTACAAGCAACCACTGAACCAAGAATATTTACCCAATGAATTTCGAGTCTGATTTTTAAAATGGCTACCATGGCCCCATGGCCCCATGGCCCCATGCCCCCATGCCCCAGTGCCAGTTATGTGTGTATCATTGGGTAATTTAATGAACGCAATTTGAGGATGTCTGTTTAGCAGAGAATGTTTCTTCTTCTTATCCTTCTTGCTTATCTTTCAGGAATCTCAAGCTCAGGTTCATCACAGCCAATCCAAAAGGTCAGTAACATTCGTAATCAAACTTTAAAAGGAAAATGATATCTATATGCACCACAAGGCCTTCAGAGCAGAAACTTTATGAAGCTGGGTAGGTCCTTTAATGTATTAAATTTGTATAATTTAAAGATTGTTGACATGAACATACACTGAATGACAGAGAATGACACCAGGAGGTAAATGTGTTGCTGTAAGGGCCAAGTTGTGGATGAATGAGAGTTCTCCACTGCTATGTCTTCATCTGTTGAGATGAAATGGGTTCCGGCTAGAGATTTGTTCATGTTTGGGAACCAGATCAGGAGAATAAGGTTGGTGTTGAAGGACTTTTAAAGTCACATACGTCGATTGTATCCATGGCAATAACTGATTTGTACACTGGCGCATTGTCCTGATGGAAGAGCTCACCTTTTCTGAGATTACCACATCTCGTATTCAAAATAATTCTTATGAAACTTCTACCTCTATCACATGTCTGCCATAAATCCTGTATTTTGGCTTCAATCACACTAACTAAAATGTTCAGATTTTCAACAGATGTCCTCTTCACTGTCAATTACACATGATTAGTTACCACCAAGTAGTCTTGTAACTACCCACACCGTGATGTCACAATGACGGCCATATCAAGTTTTTCCTGTGTGTGCTAAAGTGAACACCTACTATTATAGTAGAGACGATTTAGCACTTGATATTAGGTCACATTAATCTAAGATTATTCTAATAAGATTGTTGTAATAACAGACATATAAATAGATATATATTTAAAGTAATAGTGCTGCTGGAAGAGACTACACACATGTGAGTATAGCTGGTGTTGGGTTTGTAAGGTCGCCATGCAGTCTCACACCCCCCAGGTGTAAGAAGTGTGATCAATTTATGATCACTGGAGATCCTCATGTAAACTGCACAAAGTGCAGAGGGAAGACCTGCACATTGGAGAAGATATGTGGGAAATGTATCCGCACATCCGAAGAGATATATGTCAGAGTGCGCGACTAAGGCCAAGAGGAGAGAGGCGGAGAAGAAAAAAGTTGTCAATATCAGCACTGAGAAATCAGTATCAACCCCAGCGCCTGCTCTCACCATGAGTCTCATCCAACAACTTCTGAGAGAACAGCAGGAGATGATGAAGGACATGCTTGACTCTAAGCTGTCGGATATGGATGCTAAGATCGCGACGGTAGCTCTGGCTAAGACTACCAGAGCTTCGTCCACGGCCATGGACCATGCTACTCAAGATCTACATGCTGAGCTGCATGGCCAGCCCAGGGACCACGGCAAGGCCATGGGCCACAGTGTGGATCCGGGTTACCAACCCATGGACCAGCTACCAAGTCAGCACTAGACCAGAGAACAATACCTGACATGAGCTACGCGGTATCCATGGACAGGCCGTCCACGGCAACCAAGCCAACCAGCCATACCAGCCAGGCGCCGTATGACCCCACGGGCTTGCCTCCCACAACATTCCGGTCAACTGATAAGCCGTCCAGGCACCCATCCATGAAGAAACCGTACGACCGCCGCATGTGCGACTCCATGGGACAGCCACCCACAGCTACCCAGCCTAATGACCACGGCTTACCATTTGACCATCCAACAGGACCCAAGCCAGTCACACGGATTCCACAGGATTACCCAGCCAGCCAGCCAGCCGTAAGGACAGCCACGGCATGGCTACTGTTAGAAGCCACACGGAAGCAGATTATACCGGAATCATGGACACCGGAGGATGAAGAGCACTACGGGGCAGAAGCTGAGGGATATAATGAAATGGAAGTTAAACAAGACGCATGATGTTACACTTCCGGAGTTCCAATACTTGGTTGAAGATTTCTACAAATTAGTACGCAATCCTGACATGAATGTTACGTTATCAGCATCACGTTTCAAGGATTGAGCATCGGTTTCCAAATACTCCATGGATATCGGGGCATATATCAATTGGTTCGTTGCCGGAATCAGACACATAATACCACCTCAACAATCATCCTATGAAGCAATTGAGCTGTAGACACCCATGACTATTAGGACCGATCAAATCGAACTAATCCACAGCCTCCTTGACTCGGTCGTCAAGATGCTGGAAGATTTACTATCATCCAAAGTCTGGACTTCCTCACAGTTACTGAGACTACAGCGACAACAGCTCCCAGATTAGGTCAAGGGCCGTATCTTGTTCATGAAGTCGCCACCGATATCAGTGGCCACAACTTTCAAGGGGAAACTCAGAAATGCGATAGATGAAGTGAAGCAAGATACAGTCAAGCATTACCAGACTTCAACTATAGACCTTGCGGCGAGAGCTCTTGAGTCATTATATTCTCACAAGCGACCCTGGGACCATAAGTCATCTGCGTCTAAAGAGCCTGCTAAGAAGAATTTTGTCCCCTTTGGGAAGGATTCGTTTTAACCGAGGCGGAGGTACGACAAGCCACAATCTTCGCAGGACTCATTTCGCCAGCCAGACTACAAGAAACGGGGGGATATAATTGCTGTGAAAGATCAAGCGGCAGAGGGGAACAAAAATTCTGACTTCCTTACAACCCCCTCTGACATTATAGACCCTTTTGACCTGGTTACGTCTATGGATTGAGATTTATGCCTACCGTCTTTCAACATAACGCCAACTCCAGGCCCAGTGAGGGCGCTTCTGTCATTTGCCAGAAATTGGAAGCAAGCTACGCCCAACCACTGGATTCTAGACGTTGTGGCTCACAGTTACAAGTTACACTTCAGGAAACATCTGAGCCTGAACATACACGTCGCGTGTCGAAGATTTCACCTGACAAGTGCCAAGTTAGCAGCTGCAGAATTGGCCATCGAGAAACTACTAAAGAAGCGGGCCATTCGGGAACTAAAGGAGTCCAACAACATCAAAGGTTTTTACTCCCCAGTCTTTTTAGTCCCGAAGAAGAACACAACCGAGATGAGGATGGTAATAGATCTATAGACCCTCAACAAGAGATATCTGGTACCGCCTCCAAATTTCCAGATGGAGTCCATACAGAAGTTGCAGTCGACGTTGAAGAAGGGAGACTGGATTATCAGCCTATATCTTACAAATGCATGTCTTCACATCCCGATACACTCATCATCTCAGGAAATATCTACGCTTCACAATCAATGGCCGATGCTACGAATTCCAAGTCCCACCATTCGGGGTAGCAATAGCACCTTGCCTATTCACCAGGATAACAGCGCCAGTCATCAAGTTCGCCCATCTCCAGCTAGTTTGAATCCATGGTTATCTGGACGACTTCTTAGCAGCAGACCAAGGGAAAAATCAGCTACATCAGAACATGACATTCTTGGTCCAGCTTATGACTTACCTACGTTACCAAGTCAGAGATCACTCCGGTCCAAGACATTATATACATCAATACATTATACAAATCAACCCAGCAAGTCGCTGAGGTGGTGGATGTCTCTGCTAAGCAGAAGATGCAAACATCCGGTTACACTGAGCTTGCCTCTGATGCTATGGCAAGATCATGGCGACCTTCATCCTCCCTTTGATATGACAACAAATGGGACAAGTTTGTCCAGTGGAGAAGACGACTAGGGATTATTGATAATGCTGTGTCAATCCCTATGATAGTGAACTTCCTTCTTAATCTACGTCAAGACAATAAATTCAGACACGGGATGATAGAAGGTTACAGATCCCTTCATTCTGTACTTCAACATGATGGATTGTCTATCAGAAACCATCCCATCCTCAACAGATTAATGCAATCCTCTCTACTAGAAGATATCAAGACCCCTCGTACCTTCCCCAAGTGGAATCTATCTGTGGTATTATCGGCACTGTTAACGGAACCTTACGAAGCCATGGCGAAGGCTACCTAACTTAAAAAAGCCAGGAAAACATTGTTTCTGTTAGCCATGGCTACGGCAGCAAGAATTTCGGAGTTACATGCCTCAGACTATTCTAGTCTTACCTATGATCAACATTGGACTTCTATAACATAAGATCACTTCCAGAATTCATAGCCAAGAACCGATATGGTCGCCATTCTGACGTCACGGCATGGGTAGTTGTGAGACTATTTGGCGGCAACTAATTGTGTGTAATTGACAGTGAAGAGGAAGTCTGTTGAAAATCTGAAAATTTTGGTGTGATTGAAGCCAAAATACAGGATTAATGGCAGATATGTAATAGAGGTAGTATTCTTATAAATATTAACAATGATAACTGTTGTTCAATATCACACTGTTATTGCCTCAAAAGTGCAGCATAATATGCTCCATTTAATCGTCTGGCCTTTTGGGACATAGTCCACCATGATGACACCCTTGGCATCTCAGAACATGGAGGCCATAGCCATACATACTAAAATTTCCACATTTTTAAGCTTATGCTATCTCACACAATGCATTTTATCCCTCGGTTGGATTGTGGGCCACAGATACCCTAGCCTGTGTAAACTACAACAGTAAGATTTTCGCGAGGAAGCTGGATTAACTGTGAGAAGGAAAGACACACGTTCAAACGGTGTTAACAATCCCGATACGTTACTCGAACCAAACAGCATGAGATCGGGAATACATCTTGTACTTGTTTTCATGTATGACGTCATTCATAGAATGGCCGCATAGCTCTAAATGCATAGACAAAACTGCTGTTCGATTGATCCTGGAACCGTATCCTTTCTTCGAACAAGTCACAGGGCTATGTCCCATAGACAATAGGGTGTGACTGTTCGGCATCTCTTTAACGTTACGTCAAGGTTATGAAACACATTCAAGTGCATAAACCGAACCAGGACGTGAAGAGGAATGATTGACAATATCCAGAAGAGGATCTTCTAACCGAAAGCCTACATAATAAATAATCAAGGCAGAGGTGAGCAGTTCAGCAGACCTTTCTATATTTGTAACATGCTCGCCCTATATGCCTTCAATGTTGAAGACTAAACCGTCACTTCAGTTAATCCACCCTCCAAAATGGATTTGGTCTTGGAAATCTCACAATAAAAAAAGATTCAACATCTAGGTTA